TTTTTTTTTGTTTGTTTGCGTGTTTGTTTCACTTATTTTTACCATGTAGAGCAGAGGAGTGTTGTAAGATAATTAAATTTTGGTGTCAAATATCTGGTTATGTCATTCTAAAATTCATTTACTTAAAACATGCAACAGCTTACTGATCATGCTAATGTACTGTGATTTGTACATATAATCATTTTCTTAGGTTTTCCATGAGACCTTAATGCCTCGTTCACACCGTGGTGCAGAGACATCACTTTTTCTGCACGCGCTCTGCAAGGGCACAACAAAATCAGTTGTTCTCTATGTGCCCTGTTCACACCACCAAACTAGTATTACATGCAGATTTTTTTCTGCACAGGAATCTGCAAGGTGTATAAAACTCATTGAAGCTCGCAAGAAAAATGATGTAAACTGATGTTTCTGCAGGTGAAATCTGCACATCAATTTCCATCAGTTTTCATTCACGTTTGGCGTAAATGAGCCCTAAAATGATTTCGAGGGTTCTTCTGCATTAAAAAGGTTGAGAAAGACTGTTGTAGAACATCAACACAAATAACATTAGAAATAATATATTCTGGGTGAGGGGACTTTGTGGATATTTTGTAGAGTACAAATTATTGAGGGGGTGGTTCACACCATAGAAACACAGTCCAGATGCATTCCAGATGCATTTCTGCATGCGCATTTTTGACACGTTCTGGTGCATTTTTGAAGCATTCCAGTTCATTTTTTCGTTCTCTTTTTCTTCAGTTTAAATAGGGGCATGTGCGTTCTACTGCGTTTTTGGTGCGTTTTTGATGCATTTTACAGCTTTCCAGTACAGTTCTGTGCAGAAAAAAAAAATGCAGCATGTTTAACTTTTTTTTTTCTGCAACTGGAACGCACTGGAACTGCAAACACTGCTGTGAACTATGACATTGACAACCATATAACCTACTTTCTGTGCATTTTGGATGCAGAAAAAAGCAACTGAAATGCATGTAGGTGTCCGGTTTATGACACAGAGAATAGCTGCAATTCAGAGGATCGCAGCTATTCTCTGGTCATTTACAGTTTATGACACTCAGGAGATCAGCGAGGAGCGATGTCAGCCCTTCACTGGAGATCTGTGTTCTCCCTCCAGATTCTCCAGCCCAGAGCTGGAGAATCAGAGGAACCGCAAACTAAGCAGAGATAATTTACCACTGTTTAGTAAACTGATCTCTTACTGTAATCTCGCGAGATTATAGTAAAAGCAGCCATTTTCCAGCGTTTGTAGATCGTTCTCCCTTCGTTCGGAGAACTGATCTACACCGCTTCATAAAAGGCATTCACAGGACACCTGTGTTCTCCGAGAATGCCGGAGAACTGAGCAGCGATCATTTACCGCTGGTTCATAAACGGACACCTTAGTGTGAACTGGCCCAGACAGTGCAGGTTTTCCAGCTCTCCCTATGATGATTTGTATTAGGGTGCCATCAGTGAATGCATTTTACACTTTACGTTAAATGATATGACCTGTGCATATTAGGAATTTTCTATGTGCACCTAGTTGGTTATTAGTTTATTAACTAGAAAATGTTAATAACATTTTTTTATGCTCAGTGGCTGATTTTTTATGGGGAGAGAGATGCCTAATAACACCTCTCCAGCACATGTCCAGTATCATTACAAGACCATTGTAAGCAGAGACAAGGCTCCACAAGAAGGGACTGATCTTCTTCCACTCAGCTACCCAAAATCACTGGAAATTCAGGTTTATCTGTTTTTGTCAGTGAACTGGATTGGGGCACGCTTTCTTTGCTGCTGGTACTTTATACCAACACAAGGGAACAGTGAAGCATTTCAGTGAAATTAATGTTGCGGTGAAGTATTTCATTTCACTTATTGGACTATTAGAGTGAAAAATAGATCTATTTTTTCTATATTTTTCATGTATATATATATATATTGGATAGATAGATAGATAGATAGATAGATAGATAGATAGATAGATAGATAGACATGATAGATAGATAGATAGATAGATAGATAGATAGATAGATAGATAGATAGACATGACCTTTTTAGTACTCTTGTTGTACAGCTCTGAGTTCTGGGACCTAACCCCACCTGGGACACTCTGCATGGAGTTTGTTGTTCTTCTTGTGTTTGTATGGCTTTCTGAAGGGTTGTCTGCTTGTCACTATGAATGACGCATGCTTTGTGCTACTTCTCTGCTAGCACATGGCTGACTGCATCCCACACACAGCTTTTTCCACCCTCCTCCTCCTCCTGTCTATCTCCCCCACTAGCCACAAGGTTGCTTGTGTGTTTTTACAGGATAAATGAACCTGAACAGGGCAGTGGGGGTCATTGCTAATTCCCCAGCCTCTTCTCACCAGTAAATAGAAGCATCCCATCTCCAGGTCGCTGACATACACACATCTGTGGTGGGAATTCACGCCTCAAACTAGCTGTACACGTTTCATCTTCTCTGGTTCAGCTTACTAACCAGCCTGGATTAAGGAACTTCACTGCCGTCTATGGTATTCAGACAGCCACAGCACCCAAAGTTGCCTGAATACCCAAACAATGGCCACATCTATTTATTTATTTATTTCAGGTACTTATATAGCGCTGCCAATTTACACAGCGATTTACATATATATTGTACATTCACATCAGTCCCTAACCCTCAAGGGGCGTACAATCTAAGGTCCCCAACTCACATTCCTATATATACATACTAGGGCCAATTTAGACATCTGAAAGGATGCAGTTGTGTTTGGATAATCATTTTGTACCTGGCTCAGTTGATTTTTAAATGTAATTTTGTCAAGGTGGGTGGTGCTGGCATGGCCACCCACTACTTGACTGACTCAGCAAAAAATTGTCAAAACGTAAGCCCTATATGGCCAGCTTTATACTGGTTGGGCATTTTACTTGACTTGTTTAAAGGAATTAGTGCAAAGATGTAGTAACCCATTTTAACCAGTTCCAGTAAGAAACTTAAAAATGCCAGCGCTACAACAACAGAAGTGTATATAAGCTGCTTGCAATTTAAGGTGAATATACAAACCTTCAACCAAAAAACAATAAAATAATTTGAGTGCTAAAAATAAACCCTCCAAATAACATATAGAACAGTAGAAATTGAATAACAGTCCAACTAATAGTTGTCGAGTCCTAAAAAAGTGTTCAGATAATTTCCAAGTCACTCTATGAGGTTACTGCATGAAAAGAAAATACTCCATTGGTCATCTTAGATCTTTCCCTCCTTGTAGATTAGATACATTGCCAACTCACCGGAGATAGAGGCTGCCTTATTCAAAAGTGCAGCATCGGCGCATTAGACAGAAATTTCTAAACTGGCATTTCAATCCTCCAGCTTGTAATAGATAACTTCATCCATTCATCTACTTCTATACTTTGTGTTCATAAATCATCCAAAAATAAATAAAGAACCTTATATTGTAGTATTCTACTTATACCCCATTCACAAACACCAGTGAATCAAGTGTAATAGTGTGATAAGGTGCATATCCAAAACTTCCTCCACCACATATATGCAATGCGCACTCACTGCCCACATATGCTGCCTGATGAATATGCGGCAAGATGGCACTTCACATAAATAGGATCCAGGTAACGATTCTCCCTTTTAAAACCAATACTCTCACTCTTCTGTTCTCATCCATACCGCATTTTGATCCATGTGTGGCTACTCCCACTCAAAAGAAGTCAAACACAGTGGCGGAACTACCAGGGTAACAAAGATCGCATTTGCAACCGAGTCCTGGTGTTCCGCCACTGTGGAGGGGGCCCCAAGCAGTGTTGTCCCAGAGCTTCTTCTCCCACCATGCCCCCTCCTTGTGGATACCTGAGCTGAGCTTAGCTGATTTCTAATCTTGGGACTCCAGAACTGTGCGTGTGCACTGCGTTGTTCAAGTGCATGGTGACATCATCCGGTTCCGCACTGTACATGCGCAGTTCCGGAGATAGCCGATTATTGATTGGCTGAGTTCTGTCTGGGCTCTGCTGCCGAGATAGGCTTGAGCAGCAGGGGCCTTTACAGTAAATTTGAAAGCATCTGCAAGGAGGGGGCATGGGGGAGAGGAGGACCAGAGCCTGCACGCAAGATCAGTGTGTGATTCAGTCAGTCACTCTATTGGAGGGTCACTGATGTAAGGGGCGAGTGGAGACCCTAACGTAAGGGGGGACACTGATATAAAGACCTCCTTTATTTCATTGTCCTCACTCCCCTCTTACATCAGTGAACCCCTTTACCTTAGTGTATTCACTCTGAAGACTCTGGTGTAAAGGGGAACTGTGGTGTAAGACGGTCTTTGGTCACCAGAGTCCCCCACTTACATAAGAATTTCCAGCATTCCACGTTACATCAGAGTTCACCAGTGCAAGAGGAACTCTGCGGACTCTGATTTAAGGAGGAACTCTGAAACCTCTGATGTAAGGGGGGGCTTTGGTGACCAGAGAACCTCTTACACCAAAATTCCACTTTACATTAGAGTCCACACACATTCCCCCCCTTACATCTGTGGACCTCCACAGAGTTCCCCTTTACATCATAGTCCACAGAGTTCCCCTTTGCAATGTAAGGCAAACCCTGTGGACTATGATTTACTGTAAAGGGGGCTCTGGGAACTCTAATGTAAGGGGGGATTCTAATGTAAAGACAGGAAGGGGGCCTGCTGTAGAACATGTCAAAGGGTCCATAATAATGGGCCCCACAACAGAAGTAAAGGGCTCCAGGCTCGGGTCAGAGGGCCCATTGTAATTTTTTTGCATTGGGGCCCTGGAGATTCTAGTTATGCCTCTGGTCAAATAGGTAGGAAGTTACATTCACACAGACATGTAGCCCACCGTGCAGTTATGTAGATATTTTTGTTTTCAAACATCCCAAAGAAAAACAACTACCATAATTTTAGTTGCTATGAACAACGCACTTTTTTTCTCTTGTATCTACAATTAGACCTGTATGAACATATATTACATACCACTGTTCTCTTCTGTCCCCTCTAGCAGAAGATTCGATGGCAGTGGAGCAGTTGGACTTTGAGACATCCCAGCAGCATACAGTAGAGGAGGATAAAGTGGCCAAGCAGCCCCAGAAGAGGTCCCGTGCTGCCTTCTCACATTCCCAGGTGATAGAGCTGGAGAGAAAGTTCTCCAGTCAGAAATATCTGTCAGCTCCAGAGAGAGCCCAGCTTGCCAAGAACCTGAAACTTACTGAGACCCAAGTGAAGATCTGGTTCCAGAACCGGAGATACAAAACAAAGAGGAAACAACTGGCCACTGACCTAGAGGAACTGGACAAGACCTCCTCTCTCCCCGTCCTGTGCCGTGATGGAGATCTGAGCCGGAACTCTCTCATCAGCTTCTACCAGAACTATCACTGTTACCCATACCTGTACTACCTGGCAGGCTGGCATCCACCACTGTGGTGATCAGGACTGATTTTGGACATCCCAAATTTTAATATATTCTTTTTATAATTGTGTTTTATATGTTGATTCCAGTGGGATGTCTTAAGGTAGTACCACCTAGAAGAAGTAAAAAGTTGAATGTACCCCTTGATGATTGCTGGTCACGTGTTCAAACAGAGGGTATGGGTGTAGCCTCATGTGGGAGGTCAGTTGAAAAATCAGCTACCCTTTGCTATAATTTGCTAGAATATGTACTGTAAATGTCTTGTCAGCACATATATCTACCCAAAACAAAAATTTCAATCCTAGATGGACTTCAGTGGGCTAAATCATGATTCCCTATATTCAGGAGTGGCTCCATCTGCAATATCTTTACAATTGCATACCTGATTTTGATGCAACCATCCCCAGGTGTTTTCCCTTTTTGTTCCATAACTGAGAATGCAGCAGGAAGCGTAAGACTCCTTTGCTAATCTGTATAACAGCTGCTTAAAGGCCGAGTTCACCTTCCCGAACACGTTACATGTAACGCCCATATTTAAGATGTAACATTTAACATGTTCCATATGCACCATCTCTCCACTCCTCCTCTTGTCTTGTCACAATTTGAAAACAGCGTGGTCATGCAGGGCTTCACCCACATGGCTGTGTTCTTCATTCACAGTTTCCTGTGAATGAATAAACTACAAGTACCTTTAGCCATTGATATTCCTGCTCGCAAGTAACTGCTTGTCCGTACAGGAGGTACAGGCAGACAGCTATGCTGAGAGTCTGCAGGAGCCTGACATTGCACCCATGATCCACTGATCATGAGTGCAATGCTCTGCAGGTTCTTTAGAAAACAAATTAATAAAATGAATAAATGCACATGTTTTTACCTGAAAAAAAATGTGCATGTATTATTTTTTTTCAAAACGTGAACTTATCCTGTAAAGCCCAACTCCATCTGAACTTTTTATTGAGTGCTGGATAGAGCAGGGAAGGGTTAGACTACCTACAGTATTGTGGTTGATATTGTTTCATCCCTATTGAGGAGATTTAACCTCACTCCCTGTAAGGACAGAAATGATGGGAAATCTCTTTCGCTCTCTCAATAGGTAATTAGAAAAACAAATTTTAGTAGAGTATGGAAGCAATGTTTTATTGCTACCTGTGCTTTCTTGTCCCAATTACAACCACTCCTCCTATTTTTTTATGCGGGTGTCACAGGACCAAGAAGTGAAGCAAGATCTCTCCAGTGGAGTGCTGGCTATTTTTTTTGGCATGTATTATAACTTCTCTTAGTGTTTAGCAATTGCATTCCTAATGTTGTCAGTACTGCTGAGTTTGACATCTATGGGGCTGTGCACTTTTAGTGCCGCAAGGGTGCCCAATGTACAATACTATTGTATTGTTCCAGCACACATCAAAGTACTTGTGCATAAGACATTAGTGAGTGTTCTGCATGGATACTGAGACATATCTGCCCCAGTGATGGAGTTCTTACATTAATCTTCAGGAAATGGGGTATATCAGAAAGGTATGGGATATTTAATTATTGACATCTAATATTTTATAATGAATATTTCTACTCTCATAAAAAGAGGGTGCAGCCTGTATCAGGTGCTATTTAATATTATATGGTCTTATGTTTTATATTATAATTAATAGGCTGTCAACTATTATATGAAATAAGTGCACTTACATATCTTTTTTGCGGCAATATGGAGCCACTTAGCTACTCAGAATCATGAAGGCTGCAGCTTTCACAGTTACATTTGTTTCATAGTTTTGTCATCAGTGTCTTATTCAGCACAAAAAAAGAGGTGAGTCGGCTGTAATTCCCTAGCAGGTCTCAGCATGCTATGCTAATCTTGGTCATGCTGGATTTTAGAGTAACTGCAGAAGGCATACACTGATCTATATTATTTGGGTTATTTACTACAACTGGAAAGTGCAAAATCTGGTGCAACTCTGCATAGAAACCAATCAGTTTTCAGGTTTTATTGCCAAAACTTAATTGAATAAGCTGAAGTTAGAAGCTGATTGGCTACCGTGCACAGCTGCACCAGATTCTCAGTTCACCAGTTTTAGTAAATCTGCCCCTAAGCCTTTTGGTCAAGCACATGTCACTTATCTCTGAGTTCTCCATAGATTCCTGTGGACATTGTGAGATGTAGGGGTATTTTTGCTGGATAATGAAAGGTCTGGGATTTCCAACATATAAATCTTCCCTCTTGCTGAATATTATGCATACATTTCTCAGCAAACTGAAAATCTTAAAGCTGATCTCCAAACAAAAGCTAAATACACAATTGATCTGATTTGTATTTTGCTGCAGTTAACGAATAAAACTAGGTAACCTCTCTTGCCCCTGTCTTTTGATTGGACAGTGAAGGAGCAGCAGCTCACCTTTCTATTCACTCTGATTTCTCCTCTGCTGACTCTAAGATCTCCTCCTGTCAGCATGTTCCCTGTTAGCATATGTGCATACAGCAAACCTGATTGACTTCTAGGGATGGTCTTCTTCTCCAAGTTCTTCTGTACAAGGGATTAAAAGCTGATATTAGGTTAACTAGTTAAACTTACACTAGTTGCATATAAAATACATTAAATTGATGTAATAAAATCATTATAATAATAATTACAGGTTTTTTTTTATATCTGTATGGAGTTCAGCTTTAGTCCTACCTTGGAAATTAGAAACATGGAGAGAAAAGATACCTTGGAGTCTAATATATTAAAACCTACTCCCTAAAAAGGAGGGTTTATTGCACATAAAGGGGTTGATTTACTAAAGGCAAATAGACTGTTCACTTTGTAAGTGCAGTTGCACCAGAGCTTAGTAAATGAGCTCTGATTACTTCTATCATTCAATCGTGAAGCTTTACCTCATTTACTAAGCTCTGGAGCAATTGCACTTTCAGAGTGCACACTCTATTTACCTTTAGAAAATTAACCTCAAAGTGTTTTCATCATCCAGAATTTATTAAAAAATGCCAAAAAGTTATTAGTTTTAGATGATATTAACAAATCAGATATCAGGATATCGCATGTCAACAGTCATATTAATGACATCTTGCAGTTGACTGTTTGCAATCATCATGCACACATGCTTCTGTTCTTCTTTTTGCCTGGCACCTGCCTCTTTTTTTCAGTTGTTCTTTGCTGCAGTAACAGCCTGTTTAAAGTATGGGAAGACAACACAGAGCTGTCAAACTCATAATTCTCGTGGTAATGTCACACAAAATTCCCACAGCTGAAAGTATAGGAGCTGACAATGTTTCACAGAAAAAAAAAAAGCACACAGACCAAAGTGTGGCCATATTGTCAAAATCATTCCAAAAAAGGTCTATGTACAATATATATAAATGTATGTAAATAAAAATGTCTGTACAAATTTTATACAGTTATTTTGTTGAATAAGGTCTTTTGATTCTGTGCATAATTAAAACTTTATCTAGGATATCAACGCCAGGGACGGGGGGTATGAGCGGTTCTTGAGAAAGGTCACATTGCCCACTTATTATTGCAGAACATCACTATACTGCTGCTTTCTACAACCATTTGGTAATGGGGGCACTGGTCATTGGATCTGTCAATGTTTACAGTATATAACACTGCAAAATGCATTCTTTTTTTCACCTTTTTCATAGCAGCAGTGACTTGGTAATTTCCTTAAAGTGGTAATGGCATGTAATACACCTGCAATGTGGACCACTGAAAGAGTGTCGGATCTATAACTGATACTGGTATTCACAGTGCTAGGCAAATCTGATAGTCATGATTGGTATAAATAAGGCCTGCACATCCAAGAGCTGCAGTAAACATAGTGATGCAGTATTCATACACACTGATCACATCTTCTATTCAACATGGGAAATATCTAAGAGGTAACAGAAGAGAAAGTTGGCCCATACAGGTTTAAAATGGGCTTTATCTGTATGTGCATAGGTATCTTAAAGAGGAATTGAAATGGAGGAGAAATGTCTGTGTTCAGGTCCAAATAGCTTACATACTTCATCCTATATATAAAACCTCAGATGCTAAAGATGCATGACCACATGCTAACACTGAAAACATATTTTTTTAGCAAACCTTTTCATGAAATATGATTATTGATTCACATACATTGCAATACATATATTTAATCTGGTCAGCTGCATCAAAATAATCTCTCTCTGGCCAGTCCCTACTCTACTCTGCAAAATGCCAGATACTTACTTGCTTATAGTTAGACTTTGATGGATATACAGTGCTAATATGGGGCAGAGATACATAGTTTGAGAAAAGCCACAGACTCAGGTCTGGTCACTGACCAGAAATGGAGAGATGTCTGCTCAAATTCCAATATATACAGCATATATATATATATATATATATTTATATATTTATAACAAATGAGTACGAGATCTCCAACTCCAAGTTGCAAAAATCTTTACTTCAAGTGTATGTTCATACAAAAATCAGCGTGACTGCGCAGTTTCAAGCATAACACTGCTCTTCATCAAGCTAGCTTGCAATGCAACAGGAGTTACCTGCTCCAATTTTATTTTATATATATATATATATATATATATATATATATATATATATATATATATAGTTGTGTTCAAAATAATAGCAGTGTGCTGAAAAAAGTGAATAAAGCTCAAAATCTTTCTAATAGATTTTATTTCCATACACACAAATGCATTGGGAACACTACACATTCTATTCCAAATCAAAACATGAAGAAAAATATATCAAATTTGTGTTGTTCCTCTAAACAAATTGAAGAAAAGTGAATATTAGACTGTTCAAAAAATAGCAGTGTTTGTATTCTTCTTTACAAACTCAAACATTCACTATATAAACTGAAAAATGTTTGAAGATTTTGCTTTCCTTTGAATCACTTAATTAATATTTAGTTGTATAACCAGTTTCTGAGAACTGCTGTACATCTGTGTTGCATGGAGTCTTGGTTTTGCCTCAGAAACCGGATTTTTTATGTCACCCCACAAGTTTTCTAATGGATTAAGATCCAGGGATTGGGCTGGCCA